TGTATAAATGAATGAATAGATTTAATACATAAAAAGGTTTAATCAAGGAAAAAATACGTGCAACTCATAATTAATACAGAGTATTTCGTATGAAGTATGTTTTGGAATAAGAATGAATAAATAAATAATGCATGAGAACTCCATAGCTACACTTTTCAAAACACATCTTTATAAACAACATTGATCAATAATGCTATAACCCTAAACTCTTTCTAAATAACACTGCATATAAAATGCTACGTAGTTGATAGAATATTTAATTCTAGAGAAAGTGAGAGCTAGAGAGAGAAAGTGAGCAATTAATATTTCTCAACCCCGTATAACTACCCCCAAGGGGAGTATTTAATTAGAGGAGTAAATGTGGATTTGAGCTCCTAGTCTTCAGCTTAGGAGGCTCATTACAATAATCATGTCTTCTTTGGGCGGAATAAGGGCACTAATGGGATGACTACAATATTTAGTAAAAAGATAGGAAAATACACTCTACCAGGATGCTTCCTGGTCGATGCGGTGCCTTCTTGCCGATGTTGTCCCTAGCCGATGCGGCCATGCGGGATCCGTTTGGCCTCCAGGCAGTGTTCTGGATAACTTCGGCTCTGGCCATTACAGGACCCACCAGGCCGAAAGGCGCCACATGGATGTCCCTCTGGTGTCTTTGACCTTCTGAGTGTGTGGGCCATGAGGTCCAAGCTCATATACTCTATTAGTAGTATTTTTTTTATTTCTACTTTGATTATTTTGAAAAAATGTATTCAAATTAATACTACCTCCGTTTCAAGTAAGGATGTTTACTTGGACAAAAACAATTCTGGTTCAGTCTAGTCTGTAAATGTTTGGTCTCTGTGTATTTTATAATTATTCAAGTCCGGTCTGGTCTGATCTGAAATAAGTTCAATTAAAAACATCCTAAAAATACATAAGCCTCTGTTGAAATGTCTTTGGCTCAAGAGTAATCGTACACATTTGTATTCACCAAGGTAAGAACCCACTTTATTTAACAATTAACACCCACTTTAAGAGAATGTGTGTTTTGTGTTGTGTATTAGTGCTCGATCCTAAATCCATGAAACATGTAGACCCAATGTGTCATGATTAAATAAAGCTCCAAAAATATAAATAACATTAAAACAAATCATAAACCGTTCAAATTACAATGGTTTAGAGAAGTACGATACTCGAACATAGCTCGCACACCATAGCTCAAATTCCAAGCACGCTCTATGCATTCCATTAAAATAGAGTATACATCTTTTGTGCCTTCACACCGGAGGAAATGGTCAATTATCTATTACAACATTTAACACAATTCGGTCATATGTTGGACTTTTCCCTCCTTGCAGAGCAGCTAAATCAAATTCTACATTCCTTGCAAGTTGTACTATTTACAGAACGAAATCTAGAATAGTAATTTTACCCACCATAACAATTATTCACATATAAGAAAAGAGTTTAAATACATACTCCAACGTTCATAACGGAAGATTTAAAACATGATGAACAGGTTGTTTGTTCCTATACCCACATGAACTAAATGGATGATCTATAATATCACTTTTATCTCTTCGTGCCATATAAGTAAAACATAAGCATAATGAAAAATTACTGAGTATATGTGGCAAATATTCACACACACCTCGTCAGATAAATACTTAGTAAGAGCCGAGTATAGTTGTCTGAATCAAAATAATAGCTCTGGCCGGTTAATATACGGACTATATACACATATAGGTTGACTATATGATACGCCTAATAATTAAAGCAGCCCCGAATTAGTCCCAAATCCAGATCGATAGTAATATGAAAACTCAAACCTTATCAAGAACCACATTCTTCCAATCACTACCCCATCGTGGGAGCACGCAGTGCTACATGAAGCGCAAATTTGTCGTTGTTTATTATGATCAAAATCCATAGCATGCATGACTCTCAAGATAAGCTAATAATGTTATAGTCAAAAATAGGAAATAGAAGCATTTATTTCTATAAAATTTTGAACCTAGAAGTTGAAATATCCAGCCACTCCTTTCACTTTGTTGGTTTCCCTTCCGTGGCTCCGCCCCATGGTTTCAGATGCTATCTCATTGCTGGACACCGTTAAGAAATATTTCGAAAACATGTATAAAAGACAATTTAAAACACCGCTAAAATATTTTTTTGTCAGCACCAAACATTTATTGTTTATTTTCAAACAGGGTCATATGTTTCATTCTTTATCAAAGTGGTTCATGTGTTTGAATTTCGTTATCACAAGAGGGTCACGCCGTTAAAAATGTCTGAAAAAAACCATTAAAAGTAACTCCGATTTTCAAAAGTGCCCAGAAAATTAAAAGAAAAATACTGAAAGGTCCACCTTGTCAAAATGACCTCCAATCCACCTTCGCCTTTGGATTTTTCAGATCTGTTTGAATTATTCTTTAAAAATGATTTCGCTAATATCACTTTTCCGGTGGACTTTCTGGAGACAAGGGTGGCTAACGAAAAAGAAAGATGGCCTAGCGGTCGTCATATCGAAGTTACTTTTAACGGTCTTTTCAGACGTTTTTAACGGTGTGACCCTCGTGATAACGGAATTCAAACACATGAACCACTTAGATAAAGAATGAAACACATCACAATCCTATTTGAAAATGGGCCCAGCCACAAGTACATTTTTCGTACCTTTTCTATACTTTTCTCAATTAATTTTTTCTGTCGGCATATTTTCAATAATCTTACTTTACTTAGGATGTTTTTACTTGGGCTGTAATTTTCTGGTCTGGTCTGGTCTGAACAGGTCTAATCTGATTTCTTTGTATTTTTATAACTATCCATGTCTAGTCTGGTCTGGTCTGATCTGGGACAAATTACAGTCCAAATAAAAACATCCTTAACGTTTTTAAAAGGTTATAGAAATTATACAATTTTTTATCTTGTCTGATCCATTTTTATTTAAAGTAGATTTGAAAATGAAAAGAAAAGAGAGAGAAAATTACGGAGCTGCATCCATTGAAAAGAAAAGGGAAAGCAAGACAAAAAAAAAGGAACAGCGTACCTTTTTTAAATACGTAGTAAAAAAGGGGAAAAAATGACACAACTATACGTATACATAAAACACAAGTAAAAGTAAAATAAAAGAAAAACAACCACCTACGGGCTACAAGAGGCTTAGAAAAAGATCTTTTTACCTGCTGCAAGAGGTCATATCAAGTCATATTGGGTTAGTTGATCATTTTTAGTGAGTATGTACATCTATATGACCTTTATTTTTGTACAAGGGTGTATGTGATGGTTTTGAAAAAGTAGGAGGATTTATTTGACCCTTTTCCCAATTTTTATTTGCACGTAATTTATATAGTTTAGTAATTATGTTTTTGAACTTAATATAAACTGATACGGAGTATAATTTATGAATTAAAAACTTTGTGACTAATTTATTTTTGACAAAGTGAAATTTGGTATATACAATTTCATGTTTTTTTTTCAAATCAATATTTAGAAATTGTCTTAAATAGGATTAAACACGTTTTGAAATTCTAAAATAGGACTTTCATGTTTTTATTTCCTAAATAGGAGTAATTCTGTCAAGTTTGGGAACAATGTCATGTTAAAAGCCTAGTAATGTCAAACTTGGCAGAAATTTATTCATATATAAGTAATAAAGACATGATAGTCCTATTTTGGAGTTTCAAAACCTTTTTACTCCTATTTAGAGAATTCTCTCATGAATATTTTGTTATCTATAACTAATTTCACAATATATTTCTTAAGATGTTCAACTATTTATGACATGCGTGAAAAAATATTTAGTTGAGTTCGCCCCCACTCACGATAATTCCCGGGGGAAAGTAAAGAAAAGGTACATGTGATTTGGGCCATTTTCAGATAGGGGCATGTGTTTCATTTTTTAACAAAGTGGGACATGTGTTTCAATTCTGTTATCACAGCAGGGACATGGCGTCTAACACCGTTAGAAAATCTAATCCCGATTTTCAAAAGACTCTGAAACATTATTAAAAGAAATATACTGGGAGGTGCGCCTCGTCTAGGAGACCAACAAACTATCTTTCTTTTTTTGTTTCCAGCAACCATGTCGCCAAAAAATCCGCCGGAAAAGTGATATTAACAAATTCATTTTTAAAAAATAATCCAAATAGAGCCGAAAAATTCAAAGAGAACGATAGTTTGTTGGTCTCCTTGACAAGGCGCACTTCCCAATATTTTTCTTTTAATGTTTCAGAGACTTTTGAAAATCGGGGTTAAATTTTCTAACGACATTAGACGTCATGCCCCTGCTGTGATAATGGAATTGAAGCACATGTCTCACTTTGTTAAAAAATGAAACATGTGCCCCAATTTGAAAATGGCCCAAACCACATGTACCTTTTCTGTACTTTTCCTTAATTCTTGTATCGCCACGGCTCGCACCATATATTTTTTGAGAGAGATGCATTGGTTTCAAATGCAGCTTCCAATCTAAGTGTCACTCTTGAGCCTCCCTCTCAGAGTAAAGAAGAAAATCTGCCCATTGAGAACGTGCCATTGGAGTCCAGAATGTTTTTGCTTGGACTGAAATTTTCTGGTCTAGTCTGATCTGGTCTGAGACTGAAACCAGTCTTAGTAAAAACATTCCAAGCTTCAGGAAACTGTTGAGCAGAAAATGAGAATTAAAATGGAGAAGAAAACTATGATGAGAAGAAAGCAACTCATGAGAAAACGTGTGTTGAGGAAGAAGGGATGATGGCTGTCTTCCAAGATGAAGCAAAACCAAAATGTTTAAGGGAAGTGTAGACTTTACCAAAAATATACTACCAGGGTATATATTAAAATTTGTTTAGAATTCAATGGCTATCAATAGAATTACCCAACATTGAAGCATTACCCCCCAAAAAACTTTTTTTTTCCAGGGGGACAAACGCCGGAAAACGTTTGCCAAAGTTTATTAAAATTAAATAGAAATACAAGATGAGAGGGGGCCAAACCAAAACCTCTCCCGAACATTACCCCAAAAAAACTATTGAAGCATCACATTTCATAATTTCACATTACGTAACTTATATATATATATTTCATCCTATGGATATCACAAAATACAAGAGAAAATTACTTTTAAATTCAATGTTCCTTATAAAACATTTAATGAGACGGGCAACTAAACATTTAACAAAACACTGTAAGAAGTAGTAAGAACTGCATAGTAATGGTGACCGGCCGTATCCAACCAACTTTTTATTTTTACAATTTACAATAGGAATGGGGGAGCTGCAAGATAGCCCCTTTGGACCATCTTAGAAACCAACTCCTCATGCTTCTTCATCTGCCCTGCCTTCTTCAGCAGTTGCACCACCAATTCGTAATCTGCTTTACCGGGCCGGATACACCTTTTCTCAACCATCTCAGTGAAGCATTGGTAGGCATGATTCCAATGCCCCATACCACAAAACATGCGAATCAGAACCCTGAAGGTATTCACACTAGGCTCAACTTGTTTCTCCTCCATCTCTTTCTTAAGCTTAATCACCATATCTGTCGACCTCATCTCAACAAACATCTTCATCAAAATGTTGTATGTCTCTGTGTTGGGCTTGCACCCCAAGTCTTTCATCTGGGCAGACAGCCGATGTGCGGCATTCACGTCCTGCGATTTTGCGATGCACCTGAAAATCGGGTTAAAACTGAATGCGTTGGGCCCACACCCTCTTTTAACCATCACATTAAGTGCCATGATCGCATCATCTCGGTTCCCGTCTTTGCAATGGCTTTCGATCAGAAAATTGAATGTAATGATGTCGGGAAGGCAGGAGAGCCTCTTCATCTGATTATACACTTGGAGCACCTTCTCGGTTCTCCCCGCCTTCACATGAACCCGCATGAGGTTATTGAAAGTGACTGTATTAGGGGGGCATCCCTTTTCGATCATCTCCGAGAAGACGTCCTGAGCACGTGTTATTTGCCCGCCCCTACACAACGCATCAATCACAATGGTGTAAGTATAGACGTTCGGCTCAACTCCTGCAACTTTCATTTCATTGAAAACCCTCTGTGCCTCAGAAATGTTACCTGCCCGACACCAACCGTGAACCAAACTGCTATACACCACTACATCGGCTTCATACTTGTCTTTCAACCTGTTGAAGAATTTCTGAGCTTCTGTAGCCCTTCTTTTCTTGGAGAGTATGCAGATCACAGCTGTGAAAAAATTCCTGTCAGGCTTACAATCGTATACCTCCATCATGTCAAAAGTATGTTCAGCCTCTGAGGTCAGCCCTGCTCGAACATAGCGCCGTATTAAATTCAAGAAAGTTTCTCTAGGAACTCTGATATTACTCGATTTCATAGAGCGTATCATGTGCCAGGCTACACTGAATTCGCGTGCCTTTCCGGCCAGGTCTACCAATTCACTGTAGGGTTCTGGAGTTTGAAAGGAATAGCGCGCCTTCGCCCAGTTGAAGAACGCCAGAGCCTGATGAAAAGGAACACCGCGTCGTGCTTCCCCACATTTCTCAATTACGCGCCGGATGACAGCCGCGGATATTGTCTTGTCGGCGCACATTTCGGAGAAGCCAGAGGAGAGAGCTGAGAGAGTGAAATTAGGGTTTATGGAACTCGGAACATCGGGGTTCTTCCTGTAGTGCTCTTTGATAATGATGTGCAACTTCTCCGCGGCGTCGATTTCGGTTGGAGTTAAGCTGGTGCTAGGTGAAGACCTATCGCAGTCGCCGCCGTCGCTGTCGGAGTCTACGCCAGCACCGTCGATGTCGAGTTCGGTCATTGACGAGGAGTAGGGAAGGTATCTGGTGGTGCGGGAGGGTGCAGATGGAAAATGGAGAATCCGATTGCAGCGCAGCAAATCAGTGACGGCCATTTTTGTGAGGTTGCAGGTGAAATCGAAATTTAGGCATGTGGTTGCCCGGTTAAGCTTTGCTTTGGAAACCGCTGCGCGGTTCTCGGTTGGATTTGGATTCCGGCCCAAACCTTACCGACTTTTTTTTTAATAATTACCCACAATTTCTTGAGGGAAATTCTATATACTGCATTTGTTTTGCTAAACAAAGCGCCCAATAAAAATTAGTTAATTAGATATAAATAAAATGACTATCATATCCTTCTGTCTCAATTGGCTGGCTCGTGGAAGTTGGTTGGTGTTGGAGAAAATGCTAGCCAAATTGGTGATGCGCTGGAGACAAGGAGTGCCTGCAGCCTTGCTGTTATCGGCAGAGATTGGTGCCGGAGAAGATGATTATTGAAGCTAATTTGTTGTAGCATGAGATGAGACGGTGTTATCTATTGGACTATATGATCAATATTATTTGATCAATTTCACTTTGTAATAATTAGACTACTAATTAGTTAGCTTGCTTGTAAAGCCAAGTGGTTAGTTAGTTAGTCTAGTTATTCATGTGCTGAGCATACATGTAAACTGTCTATATATAGGCTTCTTCTTCCTCTCAAGACTTTCTCTCAAGACTTTGATGAAGTTTTTCATTTCTCCCATATCTTTGCATGTTAATATGCTAATATGGTTGATGAGTCCATTTTTGAACTTATTTTTCTTATCAAATTTAAGCGATTTTTGAATGAAAATAGAAAGAAAAGACACATTTTATATATTTTGGTTCAAGTTTCATGAAATCAGGTAAAAATCACATCCATAATATGTTTAGCGGGATTTCGGGTCAATTGAGCACAAAATGAGTCAATTTGAGTGACAAATGCATTTATACCGGAAGAAGCAAGCATTTTATCAAGGTGATTCAGAAGACAAAAATGAAGAGCAGGAAAAGCCGCATCTGCCAGACAAAAATAGCAGAAGGCGCCCAAATAGGCGCCCAAAATGGAGGCCTTCGCGGCCGCCTACGGGAAAAATCAGAAGTCAACCTCGCTTTGACTCGGGACCAGAAAAAGACCGAAGGCTACCGACACTGGACAGAAGGCGGCCGCCTACGGTGGCCGCCTGCGGCACAAGGGGACGAAACCAACCACCGGTCGGCCAGACAGGACGGCAGGCGGCCAGACAGGACGGCAGGCGGCCAGACAGGACGGCAGGCGGCCGCCTGCTGGACCGCCTGCGGCGGCCGGGATCCGCCGGGATCCGCCGGGATCCGCCGGGATCCGATTTGACCATGAAAAGACGGCAGGCGGCCGACGTGTGGCGGAAGGCGGCCGCCCTCTGTGGCCGCCTACGGCTGACGGGGACCGGCCACCGACCGCTGTCGGCGACGAGGACGGCAGGCGGCCGGAGAGAGGCGGAAGGCGGCCGCCTGGTTGGCCGCCTTCGGGGAAATTTCTGCTATAAATTGCCCGATTTTTCCTCAACTCAAACACACCAATTTCAAGCCCAAATCAGATCAAAAAGGGCGTCTTCTTCCTCCTCAAAGCTCGGATTTCCACCATTGTTGCACCTTCAACTTCAATCTTTCATATCTTTCTCATTTTAGCTCCAAATTGTGAGTTCTTTATATGTATTTTCATCCTTTCAATGAGTAGAATCTGAATCTGTACTTAGTTTTTTCTATCCGTGCTTCGAAAATTTCCAGAAAATTATTCCACTATTTCGCATTTTCTTCTTAAATTTGAATAAAATAGTTGTTGACATTAAATCCATTCCAATTAATTATATAATTTTTTAATAGCCTCAAGGTAGTTATTTATCAAAACAAAGTTAATTTTCACGAAGTAGAAGTAAATTTTAATTAATTCCGGCATTTAGTTGTTATTATTGCATAAATTAAATTAAATACTCAAAAAAGGCAAAAAATTAGTTTCTGTCCTAATTCCAGTTTAATTCACAGTAATATCACTCCTAGTAGTCAATATAAAATTTAGAACGAATTTAGAATATTTGTAGTTGCTTTTTTTTGTATTTTCTAGTTAATATTGGGAAAATTATCAATTAGTTGTTAAAATTGGATTTTAGGTTATAAAATTCGGGAAAAATTCCAGAAGGTGATAGTTTAGTTCTACATGTTTATTTTGGCAGAATATTATTTTTTTTAATTTTTGCTATTATACATGCTTAATTCCTTGTTAATGTTGAATTTATTCATTGTATTGTTAAATGAAAAAATGATGTTTATTAGCTAAATTTGTTTTGGGCATGAATTGACTAAAGGAATATGGATTGACTTGTTTACCGAAAATTAGGGATTAAAATTAATAATTTGGACTAGTTGTTTGAAATGATGAAATAGTAATTAATAATTGTTAGCCATATTCATTAATTAAATTCTTGGAAAATTATCTCTAACTTGTCTATGAGATTAGAAAATAATTTAAGCCAACCATATTCGAGCACATTAATAAGGCCTAGAAATAGGATAATTTAATGAAAGGGATTTACATCTTGTCTATGAGAGATAAATTCAATTGCTTAAATAATGAGTTTAACTAGTTAATGAATTTGGCTATTTTTATTAATTAAAATATTGGAGAATTATTTCTACCTTGTCTATGAGGTTAGAATTTAATTCAAGCCAACCATTTTGAACACATTAATGACACCTAGAAATAGGATAAATTAATGAACATAGTTTCTATTCTTGTCTATGAGGAAAGAAATTATTAGTCCAATTTTAGTTTTAATTTCCCTAATTACTAGGTCCAAGAATATATCAATTTCTAATTACTCAATTCATTGCCCTTATTTGCATCAATCCATTTAAGTTTAATATTATATTTTTTTTTAACTTATTTTTGAGCCATCATTAGTATTTGCACAATTTAATTTACTCTCCTTTCCAAAAAGTAGTTTAGAAAATCAATCAAAAGTTTTAATTTGGAAAGCTTCCAATAATTTGCGATAACCTGTGACTGGACTTAAAATCAAGAAGCTCCTCCGCCATTCCTCGAGAGACACGATACTCGGGGAAAAACCGAAAGGTTAGACTCCGTTTTACTACAACGCCGCGAAAGCGGTTATCAAATGGCGCCGTTGCCGGGGAATGGCACGGTGATTTCTTGATTTTGATTTTAGCATGGGCGAATTCAAGTTAGGGAGACTTTCTTTTTCTTTTTTTTGTTCTCACGTGTTTGCTTGAGATTTTCTCATGGATTACTCAAGTGAACACTTTAATTCTCAACCACCATATCACTATCCATACTATGAACAACAATCTTTTCAAAATAATCAAAATGAAGGATACTATGGACAAGGTTATGAGGATAACAATCAATGGTGCGAAAATCCACCTTTGGGGTATGGAGATTACCAATTTCAAGATAATTATTTCCACCAAGGGCAAGAATTTGAAGGCTGTGATGATTTCTCCTATCAAGGTAATTATCATGATGATTTTAATTATCATGAAAATTACCAAGAAAGGCTAGAAAATCATTACACCAGCACAAACGAGTACTCCTACGAGGGTGACTCTGGAATTTCACCTTATCCTCAACACGAACTCGAAGAGTTAAAATCGTCCTTACTTGATTTTGTGGAAGACTTAAGAAAGACAAGGATTGAACTAGCATCTCATGATGAGAGTATCAAGGAATTGTTTGAAAAAATCATTTATGACAATGACCACAAGGTTCAACAGGAGACATACGAGGAGGGTGCTAAATCTAAGGAGGAGGTTGCGGTAACCATGGGCGAGATGGTTGAAACTCTTCTCACCCCTATTTCTTTCGAGCCTCTCATTGCTACTGAGAGAGAGCCTATCCTCGTAGAACTTAGTTCTCAAGAGCCCCATATGAAAGTGCCCAATGAGGTTGATGAAGAAATCATAGATGATGAGATACTTTGTGATGAGGAACCTACCCTACCATCTATGGATGACCTCTCATTTAAAAAGTCCCTGAAGGATAGCCTTGATGATGATTTTGATCCTACACAAACCCAAGCGCCTGTTGAAATAGTTGATGAAACTTGCGATGTGGAGGAAACAATGCCCGATGATGCCTTCTTTGATTCTCTACTTAATGATGATGAGCATAATTGTGCTAGGCAAGGACTTGTTTGCCTAGATGATATTTGTGGGAGTAGTGAGCGAAGTTGGGATGGATTTTTAGAGAGTGACACGGAGTTTGAATTTTGTGTTGTAAATGTCGAGGCCATAGTTGAAGAAGAAGAAACCCAAAAGGAGGAGCCTACTCGTAATGTTCTTACCATGGTGGTCCCACTTGAGCGATTTCAGGCACCTGAGGCCCCTGATCCTGAAATACTTGTTGATTATACTAATGAGAGTGATGCAGGATATGTGCTAATTTCTTGTTCGAACGATGTGTTCTTTGAAGATTATATCACATTTTGGTGGCCACGAGAGTTTGAGGGTCTACGCCATCTGACGGCATACCTGGAGGATAAGGTGGAAGCACTAATGATGAGTGCCCCACAATTGACATGCATAGCTGAGAGTTCTCTCTCAAGCGTCAAGCTAGTGACGTTAAAGAAGCGCTTCTTGGGAGGCAACCCATGTTTTTCATAACATTGTTTGTTTGTTTTGTGTGTTTGCAGGGTGTGCTTCAATGTTGATGAAATAAGAGTTTGGCTTAGGCCTTACGGGAGGACACGAGTGATGCTTAGTTTTCTTCCTTAACATTTTATTGTGTTTGTTTGTTTATTCAGGTTGGACATTGTGCTGCTCTTTTGACTTAAATGCTCTTACAAACTAACTATGAATGATGTAAAGATTTTTTATTCCTGTTTCATTATTCCTCTTCACAAAATCTTTTCAAAACTCAAGTGTGAGGAAAGAACCAAAAAAAAAAAAAATGTGTCTTTATTTCAAGGTTTTGTGCCTTAAAAGAAGACCTCGAGGGCGAGGTCTAGCTCAAGTGTGAGGAGGTTGCGTTTTACACTCAAAAGTTAAAACCTTGTTTTAGAACAATCTTTTTACTATTTTTTTTTATATGAAACATTAACTTTTCAATTTTTTATCAAATCACAAAATACTTTAGATAATCACCCTTATTATAAGAATTTACTATTATTATTATTTTTGAAAACTTAA